CGCCGCCTGTCTGTGTAGTATGGTAATTATTTATTTATTTTTAGTTGAGTAGTAAACTTTATAATGTTTTCTCAATAAAATAATGCATGCTGCGGTATGCTGGAAACACCTGCGGAAATTTCGAGTGGTTTACGGCACCTCGTCAGCTCGTGTAAAGTTACGCAAAGGTTTACGTACATTTTAGCTTCATGAATCGCACCTAAAACGGCCTCGCTTGCGTACGCGAAATCACACGAAAATTTACTAAATAGCTGTGTTGATGAATCGCAACTAAGCAACGTCGATTGCGTACACAAGATTTACGCAAAATATTTTGCGTACGCAGCTTGATGAATCATGAATCTACCCCCTGGACTCCACCCGTCAGTGTAAGCGCACACGGTATCAGTCTACAGTTCCAAGGGGCGTGTACAGGGGGGGGGTCCAGGGGGTCCGGACACCCCCCTCTGCTCGCGCAGAAAACGCATCTGAGGGGGTCTAATTTCAAAAATTTCGCGTGCTCCTGTACACGCCCTTGGTTTCGTCCCCCTAAGAAAATACCCTGGCGCCGCCCCTGCTGCTAACAACACAAATCAAACTAATCCAATATTCCGTCAGTGCTTGAATGAGGACATAGGCGTAGCTAAGGAGGGGGGTACAAGGAGGCCATGACCCCTCTTGATCGGAGAGTACAAAAATTAAAGAGAAGGTCCCTGAATGGGATTGGTCTAATACCACTATTACCTACACCTAATAAAGAAAATGACATGCGCAAAATGCCATTTTAATGCACATATTTTCAAAAATTACCCTACTGTGGGAAAACACTCCGCGTTGAGAAATAGCTTCATCACTGTCTTTGGTCGCTTAACTCTTTTCTTCCCTCCCTGAAAAACACTGGCTTCGTACACCATTTTCACTGGTCTAGTAAGGGTCCACCAACTGGTCGTGTGTAACCTCAGAGCCTTCCGGCGCCACAGCCAGGGGCCATCGCTCCACGCTTGATCGGATCGGAGTGGAAAAATAAAAAGCGAGGGAGGGGGGTTATAAGAGATTAGCATATGCCACTTCTCATATAAGTTACCCCTAATACTGAGTTTTGTGTGCAGAAAATGCCATTTTCATGCAGCGGAGAATTTTCAAAAATCTCCCTACCGTGGGAGGGGGGATACCCCTCCCACACCCTACCCCCATCGGTCGCTTCGCTCCCTCGCCTTGGCCCCTCCCCCCTGTTTCCAATTGCTGGCTACGCCACTGTGTGTATGTGTGTTTGTGTGACTGTAAAAACGCGTATTATAGCCGTATAATCATATTTTGTGCTTTGGGGAGTGAAAACGTTGAGACTGAAAACCAGCCATTTGCCTGGCTAACTTTTCACCGTGCAACTGATGCCTTGGGCGATACTATCCGCGAGAGGGGAGGGGAATACTGAGGGGAAGGGAGTGTGAAGGGAGGAGGAAGGAAAGAGGAGAGAAAGGAGAGGGACGGGGAGAATGCAGACGGAGATGTGCACACGTATGCGCAGTACACACGTAACGTGTATCATAGCCGTATAATCATATTTTGTGCTTGGGGGGTGTGTGAAAAAGTTGAGGCTGAAAACCAGCCATTTGCCTGAATAAAATTCCCCATGCTAATCCTAAGAGATAAGACCTAAGACCTAAGAGGTCGTATGCGATACCATTTGGGAGAGGGGGATCACTTATTGCCGAGAGAATATCACCTGATAGGATATAGATTAAAGTGCCATATGAATAGATAGACATATCAGATATATATAGATAGGTAGAAATAGATAGAATACCAGATATTGAATGAAAAGGTATTATTGTTTTTTCTTGGTTTTTCGTGATGGTTGATTTTATATGGTACATTATTACTGCTAGGTACTCAGTTACAACAGCTGCATACAATATTTGTATGCAAATTTGACTGCCATTGTGGAGCTGGAAAACTCAACAATCTATCTTGCTGAAATAAGAAAAGCGCAACCCCAATCCGCTGAAAACCCTACTAGCAACCACAGTTTGAGAAATACTGACCTACAACAATATTATCGCTTATAACAAATCAGATTTATTAACAAGTTCAATAATATTTATTAGAACGCATTGGAATCACACTTACTATACCTCCACGGACCTCCACACGCTACCATGATGAACAAGCACAAGGGAATGAACATCTCATACAGAGTAAAGAAATACCATTTTTCACTCTTGTTCTTACCGACATAAGCCTATAACAATTAGGTAAAATTTCGATTCTGATTACTCGAACTTTGAAAATTATCAATAGAAACTCAGCATTAATAATATCGCCCCCTTCTTCCTCTAAACCACAACTGACGCAATTTAGAAGTATGATTTTCAAAAATAAACTTAAAATTCGATAACGCCAATACTGACATAATAGTGTCTCATAATAGTCGCTTAAGTAAGATCATTAAATACAGCTACTAATTTAAACACCGGGTGATACTAGACTAGTGATTTACACCGTAAAACGACCAATCTATTCTATTAAATCTTGCTTGTGATTCTGCCGGATAACATCAAGAGCTAATGAATACATGTTTAGGTATTTATTAGCTCTTGATAACATCAGTCATATAACATTCAGCTACTAGCTTAGCCAACATGAGTTGAAGCCAATATTGAGCGAAGGAATGGTTTGGATCGTACGTCGAAATTTCGAACGGAAATATTGAATGTACTCAAATAATTTCATTCAAATTTCATTCTCATTAGCATACAGAATAACGTGACACGTTTGCTCCCAACATATCATTTTTAGCATGAAATAAATTGTGAAACATATATAGCTATAACAAATAACTATAGCAAACATAACTATAGAAATAGTTCAAATTGAATGTTACAGTCACGAGGACAAATGTCCTAGACCTTTCTCATCTGTTTCTGACGTCGCTGTTGACTTAGATGTCAAAATAACATAATAAAAACGAGAGGTAATTATGATATAATCGAAGTGATAATTCATTTGGCTGATTATGAATGCACAGGTTTGGTAGACAGATGCAATACGTTATGTAAATCAACAGAAACGTGTGCGTGAATTTCATCGTACAATTGGCAATTTAAACCGTTAGCTATAGATATGCCGATATTTAGACCTACCTATCTAGTAACATTATGAAAGACATGCAGTCCTTGAAATCACGGTGTATATGTACACAATGTACGTACGTTCCTTCTTGCTTACCCCAGACGATGTCTCACTGTTCGTGCAGGAGCAGCAAATCCGCGTGATTAGCACGCAGTAAGGTGATTCGGAATCAGACAAACTATAATGCTCTACAATTTCTACAGTTAAAACAGGTCCCCATGTGTTATCACACAAAAACCGTCTACAGAATAATTAAATGAATCTAAGCCGCCTGAGTAATCACACCCAAATGCGAAGTAACATATACTGCGGCACTGTTCAGATATTCTGTAAATCCTTACCGCAGCAAATAAATGCAACATTAACAACGTACGTGCCAGCAAGTTATAACAGATCACCAACTATGTTTCTGCATAGATATACCCGAAATTTCATGTAGTATTGATTGATCTATAGATCCCACGTGCAAAGCACTTCTTGAGTGGGAGATCACCTAACCTATAATCTGCCAGAAGATGGCATGACAATACATTGACGGACATCAATATTCACAACTACCTTATAATCGTGTGTTCAATTACACTTAACTATTAGCTCTTCCGCTTATTACTACAACTAATGCTAACTGACATTTGTACCTATTCATTTTTAAGTGAAAACAGAGCGGTTCCGAGTAACGTAGTGTTAATAGAACCATCTAACAAACACCGCAACAATTGTTACAACCTCATTGCATCCTGAATATATTGGTCACCATCTCCCTCGCACACGTCCTATTGCTGGGATTTCTATCATTTCACACAAATCATAAGAAAACGATCAAAAGTCAGAATATACACGAATATATTACGTTTAAAGTAGCAAATCGAAGAAGGGCAGTTTCGTATTGCAGAGAACTTTTGTCGATTGCAAATTACAATGGTAGTGAATTGTGTGGAACTACCTTAGGTATATGGCAAGAAAAACCTGAACAACTCATGACTATTTCTTGTCTGGCATGTGCATAGCTACCCGAATCCACACTCTCCTCCAACACAAGGTTAAAGCAAGTGTATTATACAGCTAGGCAACAATCCCAGCTGCTATTACTGCAGCAAAGTCGTCTTCCTTCTCCCTCCCCCCAGCATCCGGGTTTCCGTTTTCCCCTTTCGGGTCCCATCACAAGAACGCGTCCTCGGCTGGCGGCGCGTACGAGAATCCCATGAAGGCCTCGTCTGCTTCCTGCACGCTTGCGCTGATGTGAGTCAGGTGACCGGCAGATGCCCCGACAGACTGCGGTACGGGTTCACGCACAAACTCGGGATCGAAATGGCGCAAGTCCATGAGATCCTTCTGCAAAGTTTGAATACTCGTCTCACTTAACGATCGATCTTTTTCATCTATAATTTAATTATTTTTTATCTATAATATTCTAAAATATTATTATTTATAAATTATATTATAATCATGAATATTACAATTTTTATCTTTAATTTTTTTAAACTGAACTGAGGGATCAAAAAAGGTAAATGAATATCACTCTACTGAAAAGATGTAGACGACAAGAATAAAAAATAGAAGTCGCGAGAGGTAGACTGAGCAAGGGAAATAAAAACAAACATTGACAAATCTAAATCAATAAAAAAACTGCACGAGTGCACTCGAGCTGCTCTGACTGGGACGCAAACCACTAGTATGTAATGCCTACGAATGTGGGAGCGATTACAGGACACTTGCCACGTTAGGATTATATGGCGGCGAAATCTTCTTTGCCTCCAAGTCCTCCCAGTTCAAGTCAGCAAACCATGCATGACTCTTGACGTCCTTGAAATCGTTCGAGTGACCTAGCCGCTTGGTCTTGTCTTTTTGCAGCAGCTGAAACGTACATGGGTCGTCGCGTGAACACACAGACACACAGAGCCTTTTTGGAATACAATGCAAGCTGGAAACAATCATTAACCAATTCATGTGATGTCTCAAGCCAACTTATCTACCAGTTGAGCCTTTGATAGATAGGTTGCCGCAGAATATGCGCACCAAAGGCAACACACACAACAACAACAACAACAGCAACAGCAGCAACAACAACAACAACAACAATAGCAACAAACATACAAGGCAGGGAAGGTTACAAGTGTAACCTACGACGAGCTACGACGGCACGGACGGGAACGCCAAAGCGGTTACGTCACTGCCTCTGGCCACCGGTCAAGTATGGGACGGAACTGATATCTACATAGTACGACTGACCTAGCGGAGGGAGAAGAAAAGCAGCTGAAACAATAAACAAAAGGAGGACGACGGGTACGCCTGTTGACCGAAGGCGCTAAGGTCGACCGCGGACGGCGGGCGCATAAATAAAGGGAATGGAACAGAGTAAAAGATAGAGAGTGTGCTGGACCAGCCGTGCCGACGCTACCCAAGAACCCGCCGCCAAGATGATCGATACGTAAATATGGTTACTCATTTGTTTGATAGTTAGATATTGTGATTACGTATAAGAGAGCGTACGGCGGCTCAGTAATGCGGTGAAGGGATACGTACAGGTTGTTACGCATTTGTTTGGTAGTTAGATTATTGTGATTACGTATAAGAGGGCGTACGGCGGCTCAGTAATGCAGTGAAGGGATACGCACATATGTGCCTTTAATTGGTTGATAGTTAGATCATTGTGATTGCTCCGCAGTAGTTTATGTAAAGGACGATTGTATAGCCAATGGGGTGTTAAGATTGTATCGTGCAGTGCCAGGAGTAGCAGGTTGAATAAATACTATGTGTGTGTGTACAATATAAATTACTGTGTTGCGTTGTGTATCACTGACTGGTTTTTACATCCTCGAGCGGGTTACTCCTTCGCAAGGTACTAGAACATAAATGCGATCACGCCGTCGCGCGGAGCTTAATTAAAAGAGCACGCGGTGACACAAGCAACGAACACGCAATGGGGAATCGAGGAGAAGCGATATTTGGCGAGCAGACGGCACCTACCTCCTCCAACAAGCCTCGGCCTTCGACGGAGACATTTGAGCGCAGTTGCAGCGGTTTATGCAGTATGTTGTTGTACATTTCGGCCGTGTCACGACTATAGAATGGAGGCTGCAAATAAACAAAAGGCAGATACGGCTCAGATAAACAAGCTTGTCGAAAATGAATTAACGATCTCAGCGAGATAGAGGCAGCATGGTCGACCTTGATGTCAGACAGATATTTAAATGAAAGACACTAAGTGTACTAAAAAAAACACTGTAGCTCACCTTGGGTGTGATAGAAGAGGGAGGGGGGATATATAAAACAAGAGTATATATGGGAGAACTCCCATTATATAGCATATCTCCCATTATATACTCTTGATAATGATATATGCATAAGTTTTTGATGCGAAAATAAATGTTTCAGATCTGAAAGTCTGAAATCTTGACGAGAGACGGCGCTACGCCTAAATGATCGCCATTCTGGTTTTCGAATATCGCGCAAATAAAAACTATAAAATATTCCAGTCAAATTACTGTAACGAAAAATCTAAAACACAATATTACGCGTATATACCATATATACTCAGATTTCAACCGTATTTGCTCTGCGGTTTATAAGTGCGCCATACCGTGAGGGGAAATATACTAGACGCAATACTTGGTTACCCGATTCAAATTGAGGTGCGGCTTATAGGCGCCCGCGGTTATTACGCGATCATATACGGTAGGTATGATTGTAGAGTTGTTGACCAGTTAGACGAAATAAACGTAATAGAACGTTGTCATCTCTCCCATAGGAGTAACAACTGTTTTGGGGCTAACCTTACATATTCACATACCAAAATTTAACAAAATCGAATGAATTTAGATGGCCATTTTCATTTTTGCCAAAAAGTGGGCGTGGCTCGAAAGTAGGGCTCCAAAATAGGAAGTTCAAATCTCTCCCATAGGAGTAACAACTGTATTCAATTTGAAACATGTGGGTCAAACGGTTTTTGAGTTATCGTTGACCGTAGGCAGACACTGAAATGCATAGTGAAATTGCCCAAATCTACCTAATTTGCATAATTAAAAAAAAAAAATCAAACCCCGTGTGATATGTTTTGGGGCCAGTCCTTATTCATTCACATACTCGAAATGAACAAAATCCATTGAACCTGAACTGACTTATGGCCATTTCCATTTTTGCCAAAAAGTGGGCGTGGCTCGAAAGTAGGTCAACTGGCGTGCTCCAAAATAGGACGTTCAAACCTCTCCCATAGGAGTAACAACTGCATGCAATTTGAAACATGTTGGTCAAACGGTTCTTGAGTTATCGTTGACCGTAGCCAAATGTTGACGGACGGACGTACGACGGACGACACCGCATGGCAATAGCTCATCTTGACGATGTCAAGGCGAGCTAAAAAGTGACATGAATGTAAACAAGTGCCGCAGTGCGACAGGGCTCATCTGGTGTCTGGTGTTCTGCTGATAAATTCATTTGTGCATAGCAAGACGTCTTATACATAAGTCTTCTTTATTCTTGTTTGACTTTCGTAGCCAATTGGAACAAATATATCAGCTACACTTTTGCACCCACCTAATCTCTATGCATTGCAGACACATGTGCATTGCAGGTTGGCAGGCAACAATTATGATTAGAAGCGTGCCAGCCATGGGCTGCCCGTGTGTGTGAAACAAAAATGTTTTTCAATCGCTCCGTCAGACCATGTCCTCAGAAAATATCTAAAATCTGCCCTGTGCCCCATTGACCTTTGACCTTTGACCCCCATCTTCGACATCCCAACTCGTTTTCGGATTACCCCCCATGTTCCGACTTTTGAATCCGTACGTCGAGCCGTTTAGATTTGTGCCCAACTGTTGACGGACGGACGCACGCTCATGCGATTCTACAAGCTGCATCTGACTATGTCAGATGAGCTAAAAACACTATCCTCTCTTGGACGTGGGTGGCTCACCTTTCGCGGATGCACATAAACTAAAGCTGGGTTTACACTACCGACTTTGTATTGGCGAATTGGCGAATTGGCGAATTGGACCAACATCCCAATTATACAACCGACAATCGGCAGTGTAAATGCAAAAGTTGCGCGTCCAACCGATCGATAGCAACTAGTTGGGAGACTAGAACGTTCTATTTTCGCCAACTCGGAGTTGCCAAATTGCGAAATTGGTCCAACTCGCCAATTTGCCAACATAAAGTCGGTAGTGTAAACCCAGCTTAATAGACATTTTTCCCATCTCCTAATGTAGCGGAGTGACGTAGGGACGAATGCCACGATGCGAATCCCATGAGATTTGACTCACCAGTCCGTACACCATTTCATAGGTGACCGCTCCTAAACACCACCAGTCGACCGTTCTGTCGTAGGCTTGTTTTTTCAAAACCTCCGGCGCAAGATACTGAAATAGTAGAGAGCAAGGGTTTAGACGTGCGAAAAGCCGTTTATTAACTTAACTAAAGAATCTAATAAGGATTACCTTAGGACGAAACTCGTTGTTCATAGCTAAATTTAGAGCTAAGTGGCATCGAATGACGAACTCTTGATGTGTGAAAACCCACATAGCATAGTGTGGTAGATAGGAGTCATGTTGAGACGGTCCAGGCATCCGCTTCATATACTTTTTTTAGACACACGAAGAGTTTAGGCAAAACATCTAGACCTACTTCAGATAACAGTAAGCTTGACATTCGCAGACAAGTTTGAAAACGAAATTTGGAGAATACACTCGGCTGCAACAAACCTCGGGAGTGCCACAGAACGTTGACGTTGTGCTGTCCTGCTCTAGGTTCTCCTTACAGAGACCAAAGTCTGTGAGGACGACATGTCCTTTGGAATCCAATAGAATGTTTTCCGGTTTCAAATCTCTGCCAGCGAAAAACAATATGCTTCATTATCACAGTGAACACGTTTTGTATTCGCGAGAATATCTGTTCACTTTCAGCTTAATCATCAGTCACAAATAACTGAACAGAAACAGAAACTAAAATCTTAAAAGGACACTGAAGAGATACGTGATTCGTGAAACAATAATATCGCAGTGTGTGTTAGTTTTGTTCCATATCTTAATTAATTTTTTTTGGAGTTCATAGCATGACAGGCAACATGTAAGGTGAGAAAATGGACGTGGAACTGCAGCACAGAAACTATGCCACCACAGTATTAATGCAACCAGTATAGTATTTTTAAACTTTACAAATAAACGGTTTTTGAAAGCTACGAAGAATAATGTCATTAGTACTAATTAAAAGAAAGTATGAAAAATCTTCTAACAGAAGCCAGAAAAGCAGGACTTTAACACACCTGTATATAATATTCAGACTGTGCAAATATCCGATTGCACTTGCAATTTCGGCAGCGTAGAATTTGGCACGTGGCTCGGAAAAGTAACGATCCTTTTGCAGGTGGAAGAACAACTAAAAAATAAGAAAAAATGTGTTCAATGTTCTTACTAACACATCACACAATACTTAGCAGGAGTGTTAACTTAAGTATGCCTTAACTGGATAGAGTTTTGTAATACTGTGACCTCACCAACATTGGTTTGTCACACATACTTCGAGTAAATATTTTATTAATTAATGATAAACATTGCACAGTGTAAACAAGCGCAGTTAAACATAACGGACAGACGGAAGGTTAAAGCTGTGTTAAACATATCACAATGTGAGTTATCATCAATGTAACAACCATCACTAACTACACTCACTAATGAACCTCACTGTATTAACGACCGTTATTCATATCACTGCGTTAACGCCCGCCACTCAACCATCAATGTAATAACCTCACTGAGTTAACCAACCATCAATGTAACAACCATCACCGTGTTAACCAACTACACTCACTAACGAACCTCACTGTATTAACGACCGTTATTCATATCACTGTATTAACGACCGTTATTCATATCACTGTATTAACGACCGTTATTCA